AAATGAATGCAAAACCGGACGTATCTTTGAAAATTGGTGAAGTTACAGCAAAACTAAATTTAGTAAATGGTGAATTTTGTTTCGTTCGACCTGGCTTTCCCAGATATTATAAGATACAAAGTGCTATATCTGTACCCGCCGAATGGTTCAATAATTATGACTTAGATTTTCTTTTGCCTGTATTAAATTTTTCTGTTGACTAATTTATTGAAAAATATATGACTTTGAATTATGAGCCAAAAATTATATTAAAAATTGATAATGTTTTTTGCGCATTAACAACAATAAATAATAATTATGTGTTCACAAAAATCGATGCCTAGAGTTTAGAAAAATAGTTGTTTTAGAAATGTGTTGAAGAAAGTTGTGCATAAATATATTTTTATATTAATGAATATGTTTCTTGAATTATTAAACCTTGATCCTTAAAATATTAGTACAGAATTTAATTAAAAAAAATTAATTCTTGAATTTCTTATCTCTTCGGAATAAAACATTTAACCTCGAATTTAACATAGGAAATAATGTAATTTAATATATATATATATATATATATATATATATATATATATATATATATATACAGTTCTGTTATGTAACAATTGAAAATGTTAATTTTAAATTATAACTGTGATCTAATTGTTTCAGTTTTGTAACCTAATTGTTACAATTACGTGATCTAATTGTTATAATTATGTGACCTAATTGTTACAATTATGTGATCTAATTGTTACAGTTATTTGATCTAATTGTTACAATTATGTGATCTAATTGTTACAGTTATTTGATCTAATTGTTATAATTATGTGACCTAATTGTTACAGTTATGTGATCTAATTCTTTTGTTATGTGACCTAATTCTTTTGTTATTTTACAAAACTGTAACAATTGGGTCACATAATTGTAACAATTAGGTCACATAATTATAACAATTAGATCAAATAACTATAACAATTAGATCAAATAACTGTAACAATTAGGTCACATAACTGAAACAATTAGATCACATAATTGTAACAATTAGATCACATAATTGTAACAATTAGATTACAAAACTGTTACAATCAGGTTACATAACTATAACATTTAGATTATATTTATGCTATTTTAAATTAAATTAGAGTAATATAATTTTGTTTGTTTTATATATTTAACTTATAATAAATAAATATAATATAAAATTTAGATTGTCTTTAAAAATTTTTTATTAACAATTTATCAAAGAAATTTAAGTGATTTAAAAATGTAATAAATATTAATACTTTATATTAAGAATATTTAAAATGAAGAAAATAAATATTAATTCAACTAATTTAAATTTTTTTTACAATTTAATTATATTTAATATCTATAATAAATAAAATCCTCGCAAAAGCATATGATATACAAGTCTCATATCAGGCTATATTTCTATATAGTACGCTCAGCTATCCTCGTCCGTCCTCCGCTTCCTCATATACTTTGGTCACCCCTTTCGCTGCACTTACGTCTTAAGATTGAGTTACTCATCATACTTTCCTCCCCCGCTTCATCAACACGTGCTCAGACCCCGGCCGCCCATCACTACTTCTACGCACCTACAAACTAAGAAATGACTCGAATAACGCTTGGAGATAGAAACGTTATTCATTTACTTATTTAATTTCTGTTTTCAGTTCCCAAATATTAAAATAAAGACTTATCAACTATGAATAAAGTTTAAACTACTCTAAAGTAATTTTTTCTTTTTTATAATAAATTAACATTTCAATCAAAATAATAGGGTTTTTATAAATAAATTATATAAGACTATTTTAAATTTTATTTTATTTTATTAAAAATAAGAATACAATTTTTTTACATTTTTCTTTTTAAGAAAACTTATTGCTAGAGTTTTTAGACAACCACTCCGATAATAGTTTTACATTTCGCTCCGCACATTGAATTAAATCTATATGAATTATTTTGCGATGATTATAACATGGTTTAATATTATTTGCATCATGTTTTAGTGTTTGAAGCGAAGAACAGTTTATATCTATCATATCTATAACTACAGTAGATGGCTTAAGAAAGCTTTTTAACCACTTCTTTTTTTCTGAACCCTTTACATAAATTAGAGTTGCATTTTTAAAAACAGTCTCTAATATAATGGGAAGTAATGTATATGGAATATCACCAGTTGACCAATTTATACAATGTAAATTATTTTCCAACCACCTATTCATTCTTTTGTAATTTGGTGAAATACAGTTCCAATCACATGGAGGTTGAAAAATGAATTTATATGGTTGTGGACAATTTTTTTCAAGCGGTAAAATAGCTAATTCTTTTATAATAAATTCGTTAATAGGTAATTTAAAACATTGCACATCTACAATGTATGCCATTGTTCTGAAAACTGAATATGTTATTAAAAATATTAATTAATTTATATAATTTTTTCAAACAATTTTTTTAACCCCACCACTAATTGGTCTGTACTCAACAATTCTATCATGTAAAATAAGACAATAAGCTGCTGTTTGGTCAGGTAAATTTTCCTTTGCTTCAAATTCAAGACGAATGTCAACAGGGCCGTATTTTATTGACTCATTTTGTCTTGAACAATCAATTACTATAAGTGGAGCATATTCAAGAAACTCATTTTTTGACAAATATGGTTGCTGTTCCTTATTGTAATAGCTCGCTTGGAAATTGGTATACATATCATAAAGAATTGCATAGTGTCGTTTATCAAAATCTAAATTCAAATTTCTATATGGATAACTTTGGTTGTTTAAAAATAATTTAACATTTGTAATTTGACAATGATCAAAATGACTAGCATTTCTATTATTAACATTTTTTCGATTTGTCTGAAAACCTAAAATTATAAAACGAGGTTTTTCCAACTGTGTTGATGTTTTAACTGTCCACACATGATTGGCTGTCTGTGGTAGTAAAGGATATTCATAGAGTTCCCACGTTCGAAAGCTAATTGGAATAAGTGGGTCTTTCTCAATATATTTTAGTAATTTGAATTTACGTGAATCAGACAAGCGAACATTAGGTAATAACCATTCAATTTTATTAATGGATACTCTAATTTGTTCTTCACCTGTCTGCAGAATCGCATTCACATCACTTCTTGCTCTGGTTAAAATTAATTCATGCCTTGCATTAACAATAATTTTTTGGTAGTCCTCAGCAAAGCCAAATAGAATATTAAATGGTATTGAAATATCAAAATTTCCAAGGTTATCAACAAGATTAGTATTTGCGTTACAAGTCGAAAACCAACCAGCGTTTTCTAAAAATTTACTTTGAGCTCCATAGACTGAAACGTAATTTTTCATGAGAGTTGTAAGACCAACATTTTTAGTTTTATCAATTTCGATAGCGTTAAGTTCATAACGAGCTTCTTCAAACAGATGACAGATGGCATTGTTGACAAATCTAGTATGTATAACAGGTAATCCGTTTTCTTTTACTAATTTTCCTTGAATATGCAAAAAACTTTTGCTTGGCAACACACAATGATCCTGATTTTGTACAGCTATTCTTATTTCATCACTGTTATTAAATATTGCTGAGGCATATGGTAGATGAGCATGAATCTCATAGTGAGCAATAGATTCATTGTAGACAATTGGATTTGCAATATTTAACACATCTTCATCTTCCATTTTCTTTGACAAATAGTACACTTTTTAAAGAGAAAAACCACAAAACAGATGCAAACAACTTTTACTCTTGTTATCTTCTTCTTTGTTTCTTCTCGATTACTTTCAGGCCCAAATTCTTCAATAGTTGAATGTTTTGAGGTGTTAGCCTCTTGGTCGTAGTTTCGTAACTGACTCTTTTTACACATTCTGGCTTTTTATAACCGTAACCTATTCTTCGATTGAAGTCAATACCCATTTATATTGATTTCATATGCAATCTAATGGTAATTGTTTCACTTTGAAAATTTACAAGATTTCCGTCTTGATCAACAATTCTTAATTGAATTTGATCAATGCTCTTGACTGCGATAGGCAAGTAAATGACATGAGAAGGTACTTCCACTATTTTATATCCTGGTGGAACAGTTGGAAAAAATTCATGAATCGTGTGAACCTTTTGATTATTTATATATGCACCGGTTGTAATATTACATTCAACACGTAATGCATTAACTTTTATAATAGACACTGGTAAATTAGATTGGACAAGTTTATCAGCTTCAAGAATTTGAGGTTCAAATCCTAATAAGTAAGCTATTGAATCACTTTTTTGAAAATTAATTTCACGATTGCACAAAATCTCACTACGTAAGGTATTGTTATTTGGTTTAATATAAATTTCAATTCCTTTGGGTTTTAATACACTTTGTAAATAGCGCTGTATATCACCAATTTCATAGCTACCAGTTGGTATAGTTATTTCTTCTTGATCAACATAAAACTTATTGTGTCCAATATCTATATTTGGAATTGAATTAAATGTAAGAAATTCAACAAGACCAAGTACATAATTTTTTTGAGGCAACAATTCAATTGGTGGAAAATATTGTGTCTCCAATATAGATGATTTACCTGACAAGGTAAATGTTAATGAATCGTTCATATTGCTAGTTTAATTTATACTAAACTTAATGTTTCCATGTCATTACTTTTAAAGAGTAAACATACTTTTATCCTTGAGTTTATTTAAAAGAAATTTTAAACACAAATGACCACACACAAAGGTATTAAAATTTTGATAACTTTTGTGATTGTATTTAATAATTTTAACACCGAAATAATTAACAAGATCCCTAGGTGGTTGAAGATTACCAAAACTATCAAAATATACAATATTATTGATCATCTTTCTATAAGCTACCCAATGAGTACCAGCATTATATTTACTATCTAAATTTACTATAGCTGACTCAAATTTATAAGGGCCTGAAACTGGTAATTCATCACGCATAAAAACACCACGAAAGTGTGGAATTTTTACGATTTTAGCGTATTTCAGTATATCATAATTAGTTAACGCTCGTTTTGGTAATTTTACAATTTTTTGAGCTTTTTTTTCCTTTTTTCCACAGCACATGCTAATCCTAATCCTTGTTTATATGGCTTAAGATAGAGACCTTTTCCTACAGCTAGAGATTCCATGGCTCTGTTATGACGTTGACATTCTTCTAGTTGATTTTTAGCTGCTCTTGCATCATTAACTGCTTTTGCTATTCCAGCTGCTCCACCAGATAGAGCCCCTATTGCACTAAGACTAGCAAAGAGTGGTATAAGAAATGATAAAAAACCACCAATTTTTTTTGGTATGGGTAAAATTCGAGGTTGTTTCACTTTGCATTTTCCACCTGCTACTTTCACAGCTATACGTGCACCTTCTAGAGCTGACTTTATAGCAGAAGATGTATCATTGCTAGGTGTGATGAATTTTTTTGCCGCTAAAACAATATTTCTTAACGGAAATGTGGCCTTTTTGTTTTTCTTCTTTTTCATTTTCGATTTAAGACCCATTCCTAATTTAGTTTTTATTTTCATTGCGTTAGTAACTGCCCAAGCTGCAGCTTTTTCACCAAGTTTTGCGTCACTAGCACGTACACGATTCCAAGCTTTTTCCGCGAGTATCCTATCTGCAACGTGTCTATTTTCAAGGTTATCTTTATTTTGAGAATACGCAATATCGTGTTCTCTACAAGCTTGATCAAGAGGATTAATTCCAGGATCACCACGTGCCAATCGTTTTGCTAAGTTTGTTCCAGGGCCACAGTATTGATAACCAGGTAAGTGTAATTCAACAGGTAACTTGTTGATAATTTGATTTAAGAGACCTCTACCACGTTTGATAGATTTTTTAGAACTGATAGTTTTTTTCTTGACAAGCATACTTTTATATTTCTACACAAAGTATCTTTTTAAGACTGATGTAAAAATGTATAAAAGCCGTGTATTTATACTTTCTTAACCAGTTTACTCTAAATATTTAACCTTTCTTAATTGCACAAAATTCTATAAATAAACAGACCTATAAAATAATCTAAAAAAGTCTTGCATTTATACTTTTCAACCTCAGTGTGAATCAAAAGATGGAGTTCAATAAACAATCAACAGAATTACCTGTGTTAGATTTTGATACAGTAACACAACAAAAATCTAACAAAAAACGTCATGGAAATCTGTTACCTAATACGGTAAGAGCAATTTTTTGTGGTCCATCAAACTGTGGCAAAACAAATGCCTTACTTGCTCTACTAATACATCCAAATGGACTACGTTTTGAAAATGTCTACATTTTCTCAAAATCATTAAGTCAACCAAAATATAAATTTTTGGAGAAAACTCTTGACTTAGTGGATGGTATTGAATATTTTCCATTTCAAGAGCATGAAGAGGTTATTGAACCAAACAAAGCAAAACCAAATTCTACAATTGTCTTTGATGATGTAGCCTGCGATAAGCAAAATAGAATTCGAGAATTTTTTTCAATGGGTCGTCATAGACTTATTGATTGTTTTTATTTATGTCAAACGTATACACGGATTCCAAAGCATTTAATTCGAGATAATGTAAATTTTTTGATAATTTTTAGACAGGATGACTTAAACCTTAAACACATATATAACGATCATGTTAATACCGATATGATATATTCAAAATTTAAAGAATTATGTTCTTCTTGTTGGAATAGTGACAAATACGGTTTCGTTGTTCTTGACAAAGATAGTGACCTTAACCATGGTAGATAAAGAAAAGGGTTTGATTGTTTTATAAAAGTTGCTGAAGCTTAAAATGATTTCCACTGAGCCTCTAAGTTTAGTTATGGTTTATACTTGGTTCAATTAAGATGTCATCTTCAAGAACTGAACAAATTCAAAAGCAAAAAGATATTGCGTTGAATTTGGCAAAAGCCAGTGACGCAATTCGACGAAAACATAAGATGTTAAAGTTAGATAAAGAAAACTTTGAACAAACGTTAGGTGATACTTTCAAACCCATTATTAATCCTTTAGAAAAACTTGTTAGTGATTTTCAAATACTTAAAAAAGATAGTAATAAAAACGAGAATGTTAAAACTGATAAACTGGAAAAATTTAAGACTTATAGTGATAAAAATGATGGTGATGATTACAGTGATGATAATGATGATGATGATGATTATGATGATACTGATAATAATAATAATAATGGTGATGATGACAATATAAATGAAGAATCCTTCAAATCAGTGGATTATGAAGAGGAAGAATCACATTCTTCTTTTTTACCATCATTAGATAACGAAACAAAAGTGTATCTTAAATTGTTAAATACAAATAGTAAAGAAATCGATAATATATGTGGTGTACGAAAATTAGCTAATAGCAAATTAAAGTTTGGTAATTCTCCAATAAGTTTTAATGAAAACTATATAAATGTGGCAAATTCAACGTTTTCTAATAGTAAAGGATTACTTGAACTGCTCTTTAAAAAAATTCCAGATGAATCTTTGATCTATGCTAAAGATCTGGAAAATTTTAAAAAAATACTTGTTTTGACAAACGCACATAAAAAGAAATATAAAGCTAATAGTGACATTCGTCAAAGTAAATCGTTTAAATTCAAACGATTCATATGCAAATTATTTTCACCTACAATAAACAATGATCATAAAAAAGAAATTTCTTCTCGTGGAGGTGCTTTACCTGAGTTTATGCTTGCTAAACAAAAAAATCAAATGGACTATATATATTGGGATGATCCAAATGAATTAGTGGACAGACTACGTTTACTATTAGCGTCTCAAACAGCAGGAAATCCAAGCCACACAAACGAAATTTTATCAATCATTGAAGAATTACGAGAAGCAAACATTATTTATTAATTTTGATTACTTTAAAAACCGATCAGTTGAATAATGTCTCTCGACGTATTTGGACGTTCTTTTAAAAAAATTGAGAATTCTATTCGTGGGCCTTCTGGAGTTGGCTTTAAATTTACAGAAGAAGGACATTTTAATGTTGAAAATAAAAAATTGTGTAATGTTGCAGAAGCTTTAAATGGAGGTGATGCAACTAACTTGAGCCTTGTGAAAAAAATCGTGAACACTGAAGTCAACGATTTTTATGAGATATTAGGATCAATGAGATCTGATATACTTAACAATAATATAAAAATAACAAAGCTAGAAGATTCTATAAACAAATATTTACAGAATCTAAAAATAAGTATTGAGAGAAATATAGAGTGGTTGGCGCTTAATAAAGAGATCCTTACTCAGTTAGACAAACGACTAAGTGCACTTGAATAAAATAAAAAAATTTTGATTGTAAAATATGAATGAAGAAAAGCAAGCTCTAGTTAGAGAATTACATAAACCAGCTAGAAGAAATTATGCTAGGCGAAAAGTTGACATACGAGCTATCGATGACACTTGGCAAGCCGACCTCGTGGATATGCTAACATATGCAAAGAAAAATAGAAACTACAAATACATCTTAACGATCATTGATAATTTTTCGAAATTCGCCTGGGCTGTTCCTGTGAAGAATAAATCTAGTGAAGATATTTCAACTGCAATGAAGTCAGTGCTGGACCAAGGTCGGGTGCCGAAAAACCTACATGTGGATCAAGGAAAAGAATTCTACAATATTAATTTTAAAAATCTCATGAAACAGTATAAAATAAATATGTATTCTACATTTAGTAATTTAAAAGCTTCGATTTGTGAACGCTTTAATCGTACCTTAAAAAATAAAATGTGGATGCAATTTAGTTTACAAGGCAGTTACAAATGGTTAGATATTTTGCAAGATTTACTTTTCTCGTACAATAACACTAAGCATCAAACCATTAAAATGAAGACAAAAGATGTAAACAAAAATAATGAAAAGGCAATTTTATTTAATGTATATAAAACATTCGTTGTAAAATCTTCGAAAAAGAAACCGAAATTTGAAAAAGAAGATAAGTAAACTTAAACATATTTTTGAGAAAGGTTACACACCCAACTAGACAACAGAAATTTTTACAATTAATCGGGTAAACAATACTACACCAGTAACATACTTGCTCAGAGATTATCAAAATAGACCTTTAGCTGGTAATTTTTATGAAGAAGAAATTGCTTAGGTTAAAAATCCAGATATTTATTTAATTGAAAAAATATTTAAAAAAACGTCGTCATCGAATGTATGTTAAATGGTTAGGATTTGAGAATTCTCATAATAGTTGGATAAATGAGGATATGTAACAAATTTTTTATTGAAATAAATAAATTCAAGAATTTTCATTAAAATATATTTATTGTTCAAATTTATTCTCCTTCAATATAATAGTTCTAAGTTATTACATCATCATCTTTTTTTCTATTTATATTTCATTATTATCATTTTGCCATATGATACATTTCTTGTAAATTACACATTGATATAATTATAAAATATATTTTAAATACAATATATATGCACAATTAATTAATGTCATTCTTCTTTGCATCAATCATCATCTATTTTTCCTTGAAACAATACTATTTTTCCTTGAAACAATACTATTTTTCCTTGAAACAATAATTGGTTTTCTTCAATGTTTGGATAAATTTTGTGAAATCTACTGAACAGAATTGTTCTGAAACATATAACAGATATAAATTAAGTATATTATATATTAAGAAAATTTATACACAATAAGAAAACTAAGGAAATACTTACATTCTAATTTTCATGATATTTTGTTTGTATATTTCTGAATGTAAATTAAAACTTCATTACAAATTTCCTTTGAATGAAAAGTCATAATCTCAGAAAATAGCTTTTCTATATTTACAGGAGATGGACATTCACTATTTAATAATACTTTTTCTAAGACTTTAAAATAATTTTTCTCAATAAATTTTTCCAAAGCCGTCAGTTGGTGTAGTTCAAATCGCTGATACACAATTTCTTCAATTGTTTTAATAACACCTAATTTAATATATTGCAAAGGTAAGAATGTTATTTCCCTTGCACTTTCTTTCACACAGCGATTAAATTGCTTCAAAGCTTTAAAAGTTTCAAATTTCAGAGAAAATGAGTGTATTGAATCTAATTCTTCTTCTTGTGAATTTCTAATTAACACAAAGCGATGATTTAAATAGCTGACAAAATTCAGATGGAATGTGTCACAGTTGATTTCATGAGGTTCAGATTTATTATCAAAAAATACCTCAATTTCTGAATAAAAAGTGGTGAAAAATTTCCATTCTAGTACTGAGAATGAGACTGATGTTTGTGGGTGGCTGCTTATAAACTTAATTTTTATGGATAAATTGCTCTTTAATTCAGCTCCAATAATTACTTGTTTTGTAAACGAAGAATTTAAGTTATATGTGGTTGATAGAAGTAGTTGATTACGAGGAAGATATGTCATTTTTATTATTCTGCTTTAGACACAAATTCAAAGTAATTATATTTTCCACCCAAAAATTTTAATTGTAATTCTCCTTTTTCTGCTGCTTGTTGTAAGTGAGTCAATGATTCATCATCACTTTCCAGAACCTTTACCATTCTTTGTGGTAAAAATACAACGTATTCACTATTGATTTCAGCCACAATTTTCAAGCCAAATTTTGTTGTCGTTTGCTTAATATCTGTAATATTATAATATTCATTAAGATTTAATTCACTCAATTTTTTGATAGGTAAAAAACTAGCAGCTCTGTTTAATTTCTTTAATTTTTCATCCATTTTCTTCACTTTCTTATCAACCACACTGTATTATTTAAAGCTGTTTTTTTCTTACACTGACAATAGTTTCTAGATTTTTTAACGCAAACACTCAGTTACAACTTCTCAGTACAGATCAACTACCGAAGACTTTATGGAAACTGGTAGCTAACTCTCACATTTTATACTCTTAAGCTTCATTCTCTGTCTTTTTTAAATAATACATTTCTTCCTTCTTTATTTATATAGATAAGTTTGCAAAATTAAAATTAGATTTCTTAATAAATATATATACCTATCTTTGTCTACATTGGGGAATGATGACTCCTCTCTGAAATGTACATGACTATTTTTATCATCTATGCAATAATTACTCATAACATTAACAGGTGATGCTTCCACATTCTTATTACAATAGGCTGATAATTAATTTTCTATTAAATAATAAAACAATTTGTTTAAAACATTATAAACGCAAAAATTTATTTGAAAAAAATTTTATACTTACCGTAAAATCTTGAGATATAATGAAACTCTGTATGTTAACCTATACATCATAAATATACTTATTCGTTTCTCAGTTTTGAAAAAAATTTACAAATTTTTTGAATAAGTTTTTTTTTCGGATAAATTTTTAGAAGAAATTGCTCTTCTCTTTTTTCCTTTAGAATTTTCTCGAATAGAATGGATTAGAACCATTTTTTTATTTAAAATGTCGGTAAATGTCGGTAAAGGAATCTGTATCCAGAACCGGCCCTGCCTATCTACTAAACCGTTTTTCCATACAGGATGTCATTCGCAACGAAATAATGATGAAGACTTTCTGACCACAAATCCCAATCATCGTTCAACGAAAATTCTATGATGCTTCCAATAGTCCCTTTGACTATCGTGATCGTTTCGTCGGCTTAGTGGAAAACTGTACCATTTCAGGTATTCGTTATAAACTGTACCATTTCGGTAAATTGTTTTAAAACATACCATTTCGAGAAAAAAAGTTTTTTGATTTTTTTCCAAGTTTGTCAACACTGCTGCTAGACATAAAATAAGGTTATGCTTTTTTAAAAAACGGTATCTTAAATATACTCTTGTTCATCTTTTCAATGAATTAATTCAAAATTTCTAATAATTTAAATTAATTGCTTGTTAATCATTAGAAATTCTTTAGTGCAACGCTTTTATAGATCTTCATCGAAATGGTATGTTTTATAACAAACTTTTGAAATGGTATAGTTTATAACGACTACCTGAAATGGTACAGTTTTCCACTAAGCCGACGGTTTCCTGTTGGCGTAACGATTCGCCAAACGACGATGTAGCCTCTCTTTTCGTCTCGACGTTCCTTTGATTTTCCTCAAGGAGGTTGCGACGATCATTTAGCAACTGTTGCTTTGCATTATCAATATCACGTTGTGCATGCCTTAACTCTTTTTCGAACTCTTCCAGTTCTTTTCTTTTTAAGTTCAACTTTTCCATCTCCGACATTTTTCAACACGCGTCACTGTCAAATATTCACTCAATTATTTCTTTAATCGTTTTAATCCTCGTCGCCAATTGTTGTGACTTTGTTTTATTAAAAATACACAGCACATTTATAGAAACAAGAACAATTTATTATTTAAGTTTAAATAGAATATAGGGGAAGTGCGCCGGTTGTGGGCATCCCTACGTAAACTTCGACGGCAAGAAGACTTTACTGATCTAAGTATTGCAAGTCGTGTTCGTTGACAATACGGACTTTTCGTATTGATAACGAAACAAATATATGCATTTGTGTAATAGCTGTGAGCATAATAAAGAAAGTTTGCATTAAATAAATAAAAAAGTAATTTTGTATTGTTTTCGAAGAGCAACATATGGGTGTAGATTCGTTCAGAAAAAAAGGGTTTAATTTTTTTTCAGTGTTGTCATTATATTTTGTGATTTACCTTCGTGTTTAACCAAAATCCTGCATCACAAAATGTGTTGGTCTTCTTAAAAAATGACTATCATTCCCGGTTGTGGGCACCTTTATGTTAAGGAGGATCTACCATCTGACAATGATGTGGACTACTGTCTCATCTATCTAAACTTTCTGCCAAGGAAAGTGACAGCCGCAAACTCCATTAAATGCGATGAATATAGTCGTTCAGTGTATTAGAAGTGCGTTATGGTTTGCGTACTAGCTACTTCACATGCAAGCATTATGCTTTTGTTAGCGATGAGCATAGTGTGAAAACGTGTCATCATTTTTGTTCGTTATCCCGGCAAAGTCTTTTAAAATAAAGAAACTTTCATTTCTTCTTTATTTGTGTTGGTTTCCTTTAATATTTTTCTATTTTTAGCTGATTTTTCAAGGGTGCCCACAACCGGAACCGGCTCATCAGAGCAATTCTGATTTTCTTTGTCTCTGCAACAAAAGCAGTCGCGACAACTTAACACGCATTATTCCTAGACACAAATATGAATGAGCGAATATATCCCAATTAGCAACCTCAAAAACCCCCTCGTGACAAAATTAAACTCAATTTGTTAAGATTTTGAAAAATCGATCCGCCATATTGGATCCGCCATTTTGAATTTTTAAAAACTAACTCCAAATTCGTAATCAGCGACCTCAAAAACAGTAAACTACGCAGTTTGGTTGCAATAAAAATTTGCATTATAATTTTGGCAACTTTTTGTGGTTCCTGGCCCACTGTGGACTTGTATGAAAATGGCGGCCGTTTTCATACGGTCGAAGAAATGAATGACTTTCCTCCCTGTCGTCTGCTATCAAAAGGGGTATTTTTGTGCATGTGGGATAAAAACATTATTTTAATAAAGTTTTAATGAAACTTGTACATTAATGGACTGTAATCTGATCGTTCGGTTTTAGAAATAAATTAGTTTATTTATAGTTAAATGATAAGATGTTACTTACTTTTTCTTTTATCTTTAGTCACTTATTGTACATTTACAATTTAATTGCACGTCAAAACGTTTCGGCTGATTTTCAGCCCTCTTCAGATAATCTAAAATAATATAAAACAAGTTGTTCATTTCCTGATCATTAAGCTTCCTCAATATAATATATACCAATTGTTTAATTTTTTATTTTAGAATAATTATTTTAAAGTGTTAAGATAAAATTTCAAAAAATACAAAATTTCAATTTTTTGTGAAAAATTAAAATATTTATTAATTCTATAAATATTGATAAAATATATACTTTATACACATTAATCGATTCGTTTTTATGTCAGGAATGCAATTTTGACAAGAATTAATGAAAATTTTAATGTACAAAAAAGTTATTTCAAAAAATCAAAAAATTAATTTTTTTAAAAATTAAAAAATTGTTGAAAAAAATTTTTTTTTGAGATATTTTTTAAAATCCTTCTGTCTGATTTTTGGTATTCGTGATAGTAATACACCTACAAAATTTTATCAAAATCCGTCAAGACGTGTAAGAGAAAATTTGTCCACAAGAATCGGTGACATACACACACACACACACCTATACACACTAGAGTGTCCGTTATTTCCCAAGTTAGCTATTTTCATTTAGGTAGCGTCAAAATCGTTTTTTTACCTTAAAACAATTCTAGAAACTAGAAGAAAATTTTACGATGCCGTTTAACCCGGCCTAAATAACAATACTTTTCCCATTTAATTAACATGGGATTTTTGCACTTTTTAGAAAATAATTTTTAATTAGTTTATAATACTCTTTGACTAACCAACAATGCTTAATTTAGCTTCTATTATGATTCCTTTAGATAGAGAAATTTACATATTATCGCGAAAAATTTATTACACAAGTTTTAAAAAGGTCAATTTCATTTTTATTGATTTTTCTGATTATTTTGCTAAATCTACTTATTAATTAATTTTGTTATCAAATTTTTACTAAAAAATTCTTAAAATAATTATGAACATTTCCTATGAATTTCAAGTGGGCTAAACCATTCTGTCAATCAAGAGAATTTTTTTTAAATATTTATTTTTGCAAATTTTCAAATTGTTAACTTACATTTTTAAAAACAAATGAATCGTTATAACATTGTTGACGTGAACGTTAACAATTTGAAAATTTGTAAAAAAAAATTCTCCTGATTGCCAGAATGGTTAAGCCCGCTAGAAATTCATAGGAAGTGTTCACAATTATTTTAAAAATTTGTAGTAAAAATTTGATAACAAAAAAAGGTGGTGTTTTTGAGAAAATTGATCTTATTTATTTTCAGAAAATCATCTCCTATTTTTATCATTTTTAATATTTTTTCAAATTTCAAACTGGATTGTGAAGAGGACAAGACCCAAGAAAGAAAATTAAATTATACTCAAAAGAAAAAAAATACAAGCAAAACAATTTTTTTTCTACAACATGAAGTTATTCGACATGCCTGATTTGAAATGGATTCAGTCTGCTGTGTGATTATTGGATAGTTTATGAATTGAAATTATTGTTATGGTACAATTGGATGCATGAAACAAGAAACTTTCAATGAAATACCGAATAAAAATTAATTAATAAGTAGATTTAGCAAAATAATCAGAAAAATCAATAAAAATGAAATCGACCTTTTTAAAACTTGTGTAATAAATTTTTCGCGATAATATGAAAATTTTTCTATCTAAATGAATCATAATAGAAGCAAAATAAAGCATTGTTGGTTAGTCAAAGAGTATTATAAACGAAATAAAAATTATTTTCTAAAAAGTGCAAAAATCCCATGTTAATTAAATGGGAAAAGTATTGTTATTTAGGCAGGGTTAAACGGCATCGTAAATTTTTTTTCTAGTTTCTAGAATTGTTTTTAGGTCAAAAAGAAACGATTTTGACGCTACCTAAATGAAAATAGCTAACTTGGGAAATAACGGACACCCTAATACACACACATACATCCGGACATTTGTTCCTCTCGATGAATTATATATACTACACTTTAAAATTTGTAAAAATAATTGATTCTAAAAAATTCAGAAATCGACATCACTATAAGGCTTCCTTTAAGAGGAAGCAAAAACAATACAATACTTATACCTATGTTGACATATTTTTCATTGAAAACAAGTTTGACTTTTGTATAGGGGAGAGTCTCCAGTTGTGAGACACCTCCAGTTGTGAGACAGTCAATTTTTTTTAACATGCAATATTAAAAATCCGATTGGTTTATATAAAAACATTTCTTTTTACATGAGCCAACTTTTTCATGTACGCCGAAGCGGATATATAAACTGTTTTTATTAAATACCAACACTGTGTGTGATAATCGACTAAAAAGCGTTTTTCAATAAATGCAAAGTACTTTTTTCCAAGTTAATTAATTGGAAAAGGTAAATGTAATGCATTTTCTTTTAGTCTTTTCCTTATATTTTGTGATGCAATATTGCATTGTTCCAATCTACGGTTGAAAATAATTTAATTTTCCTTTTTCAGAATAGCGCCAATTTCTGGGTGTGAGACACAGCATATAACCAGTTGTGAGACGGTGTCAACACCCATCTGGGCAGCATAAAAAATACAAATTTGCAGGCATACTATTTAAATGTTGTTTTGATTTCTTTTTCTAGTATTTTTGGGCATGTCAAGTGGAAAAAAGTCAATTGATTCAGAAGAAATCAATTTTAATGCTCTTGTTGAAGCTATTAAATTGTGTTTATTTGATATTCATATTTTGGCGAATAAATATTATTATTTAGTATATAATAATATATATTATTAATATATTTAATTATTTCTACTAAACATAACGTTTTATGTCAAACTTATTAAATTTTAGCAATTTTTAATGAGTGTCTCACAACTGGAGACATTTTTTTTTTTTGAAAAAAGCGATGTGCTCGGAAAATGTATCGTAAAATTTTTTGAGTTCATCGAAACACTATACTTTCTTTTAATAAAAGTTGCGTATTTCTGTTACCTTTCAACGGTGTATTTTATTTACAATTTCGTTTACCTGTTTACAATTTACGGGTCAAAAATGAAACCCGTCTCACAACTGGAGACTCTCCCCTACATTATCACAGAAATAAAAGTATATTTTTAATATCTCCATCGTCATATTCCCAATATAAATTGGATATACATACATTAAAAAAAATTAATTTAATTATTTAATATATATATATATATATATATATATATATTTGCGATTGTCCACAACCAGAGGTGGCGTGGGGGTTAAAAATTGGTGAAAAATTTCCCATTTGGTTTATAGAACAACGATAAAATTTAAACCCTTCACTCATACCTCGTTCTCGATCTTCCTCTCTTTCAATCCTTAATCTATCTGTGAGTGAGAAAAAAAAATTAGCCAATAAGGAAATAAGACGCCTTTTTCGTATTTTGGCTTGAAAGTGAAATTCCTTACTTTTCCTTCCCCTACCTATTCCTGTTCCTCTCTTTCTACCTGACACGGAAAATGGAGAAAACAATTATGCTCTTCTGTAAACCAAAGAAATAGGCGTTACCTCCCTCTCTTTCTCTTTATCATGCCTTCTTTCTCACTGCTAACAGAATATATGTACACGCTGTGGACAGACTGAATGAAAGAATTCGAAGATTATTATAGTTAAATAAAAATAATTCGAGCGAAAGTACCGAGATTCTCAGAATTTTTTATTTGGGCATTACTTTCAAAATAATAAAAACAAAATTCTTTATCAAATACATTCAAATAATAATAGTTTCTTGATTAGAAGTTTGTTGATGTTTAATAGAATAGTTGGCTACACTTTTTAGTTAATTTATACAATTTTATTTTGAATTAAAAATAGATAATAATTAATGTCTACTTAATTTAATTAAATTACAACTCACATTTAGTTAACCTCCTTACGGTTTAACCTGAGTATACTCGAGGTGAATCTTTCATTTATTTATTTAAAAAAATTCAATTCGAGAGTCACATAAATAAAGTACTAAGTATAACTTAAAGCTAAAGAGTTGTATTTAATATCAAAATAAAAATGAAATAGTGAAAATTAATTTTAACAAAGTTATAAATTTATTTCTGCAAAATTGAAAAATGATAAACCGTCGCACAATGAAATGTTTTTACAATTTACTGTTCAAAAATGTCTACAACCTGCAATTTCTAACCGATTTGAGTGTTCTTTGATTGAAATCAAAAGGGAATAAATTTTTAAGACATCCCTGTAGACCGATTTTTGAGGTAATAATTATTTCTGATTCTAATTTTTTATTTTAATCAAAGTTAACAAATTAATACAATTTTTTAAAAAAGAATGTTCATTTTTGCTTCCTCATAAAGGAAGCCTTATAGTGATGTCGATTTCCGAATTTTTTAGAATCAATTATTTTTACAAATTTTCAAGTGTAGTATATATAATTCGTCGAGAGGAACAAATGTCCGGATGTATGTGTGTGTGTGTGTATGTCACCGATTCTTGTGGACAAATTTTCTCTTACACGTCTTGACGGATTTTGATAAAATTTTGTAGGTGTATTACGGTCACGAATACCAAAAATCAGACAGAAGGATTTTCAAAAATATCTAAAAAAAGAAATTTTTTCAACAATTTTTTAGTTTTTGAGAAAATTAATTTTTGGATTTTTTGAAATAACTTTTTCTATATTAAAATTTTTATTAATTCTTGTCGAAATTGCATTCCTGACATAAAAACGAATCGATTCATGTACACTGAGAAAACTGGAGTATTGGACTAAACATCTGGAGGGACAAATCGTTTATATTTGGGAGTTAGCTATTGGATAACAATACAAGTTGTTCATTTCATGATCATTAAGCTTCCTCAATATAATATATACTAATTGTTTAATTTTTTAATTTAGAATAATTATTTTAAAGTGTTAAGATAAAATGTCAAAAAATACAAAATTTCAATTTTTTGTGAAAATTTAAAATATTTATTAACAAGTTGTTCATTTCATGACCATTAAGCTTCCTCAATATATATTTTTATATATAATTTTAAAAGTCAAATAATTTTAATAGTTTATTAAATATAATTAATAAATATTCTTTTTAATAAATCCAAATAAAAATTAATGTTATAGAGTTTATCATAAATTTTACTAATTTTCAAAATTATCATAATATTTAAAATAACAAAATTTAATAAAACACAAAATTTTTAAATTCTTATATTTATTTTAATTTTAAAATCAGATACATTTTATCTATATTAAAATATATGGGCAATTCCACGTGAGATTTCAGTCGACCTCTTAAAATCGGCCAAAAATATTTTTTTTCTATTCTGTATTAAAAAAAAACAGATACGTGTTTTTTTATTATTTTTTTGGAGGCCAGATTTTTGAGTTATGAATTTTCAAAATTTTCGTTTTTTAAATGAAGATATATTTTTAATGTCAGATAACTCAAAAAATATTGCTTCTTTTCATTTTTTGACAAGAGAAAAAAAGTTTTGTTTTTCTCTCTACTTTTGAATAATCATAACAAAAAATTTTTTTTTTCATTTTTTATTAAAAAAATCAAAAAATTTTATAAACAAATTAATTTTTTTTAACTTTGGGTATGATAAATTTTTAATTTTCTTTTTTTAAAACATACCTGGAAATGATAAGAAGGTTTTGCAAAAAGTTTCAGAGTGGGCCTGACAAGTTTGATGGGTCCAAAAAAATAATTAAGCTGTCCGTGCAGGTCGCACGCACGCGGCACAATGGGATTTTTTTACAATTTATTATTAAAAATTGTTTAGAGCCTCCAAATTCAATAATAATCAAAATCTGATAAAATTTGTAGGCTCTAAACAATTTTTAATAATAAATTGTAAAAAATTCCCATTGTGCCGCGTGCGTGCGACCTGCACGGACAGCTTAATTATTTTTTTGGACCCATCAAACTTGTCAGGCCCACTCTGAAACTTTTTGCAAAACCTTCTTATCATTTCCAGGTATGTTTTAAAAAAAGAAAATTAAAAATTTATCATACCCAAACTTAAAAAAAATTAATTTGTTTATAAAATTTTTTTATTTTTTTAATAAAAAATGAAAAAAAAAATTTTTTGTTATGATTATTCAAAAGTAGAGAGAAAAACAAAACTTTTTTTTTCTTGTCAAAAAATGAAAAGAAGCAATATTTTTTGAGTTATCTGACATTAAAAATATATCTTCATTTAAAAAACGAAAATTTTGAAAATTCATAACTCAAAAATTTGGCCTCCAAAAAAATAATAAAAAAATACGTATCTGTTTTTTTTCAATACAGAATAGAAAAAAAATATTTTTGGCCGATTTTAAGTGGTCGACTGAAATCTCACGTGGAATTGCCCATATGTTATATTTGTTTTATCTATATTAAAATATATGTTATATTTGTTCTGGAAAATCACTAGGAGCTTCGTCTTTTAATATTTTCAAAAAATGTTTTCTCATCGATTTTACATTTAGCGAGTAACATATATTACATGGATTTTTATTTAAAATAATTGATGAAGCAAAAGCTGCTGCATATACTCCACATGATATAAAGTCAGGTTGAATTACATTCATTTTTTCAATAATTATATCATTACTATTATATATTCCATAACGGTATAGTATATATTCTTTTTCATCGTCACATAAATCATCATATTTTAAAGTTCTCCAGTATAAACTATCATAAATATGTAATTTACTTAAGTCATAATAAAGGCATCTCCAATGAAATGATTCAAGTCCACCAAAAATTTGAAGATCTTTCATTGATGTTTGTTTAATATTATCAGGAACTTGTATACTTAATACTGTTATCGGGTCGTAAATTGTATTTAAACATATAATTTCTATTATTATATCTAATTCAAAATCCTGTAAATAGCTTGATATATTTAAAATTCTATCTTTTACATCGTCCTGTAATTCTATTTGTTTTTTTTTTTTAATGACAAATTATGTTTTAATAAGTTAACTGTGTCATTTATACAAATGATGCTATTCTCTTGCATTGATAAAATTTGAGATTCATTAGATTTTTTAATTTCTTGAATCTTCGAATAAGATGAAGTAATTGAAAATTGTTCTTTTAAATCGATACTTAATCTTTCCTTTTTTAGTGGTGGCATATTTTCTAATGAAAGACTATTATTATTTAAAAACTCTTTTTTTATAACAATAGTATCCATAATATTTGAGTTGTTGGCACATAAATTACTCTTCGTTTTATTGAAACTTGAAATGCTTTCTGTGTTTTTATCAACATTTAATCCAATAAAAACAGGTTTGTGGTCCGAGAAAAAACTTTCATATACGCCTGATGAAAAATTTTTTATCTCTTTAGAAACAAATATGACATCAATTTGAGTGTTGTAATTAGTAGTAGAAATTTTTGTATTAATTCCTCTTTTGAAATTATAATTTGATAAATATCTTTCTAGAAAAGAATTATCATGATAACAATCAATATTAAAATCTCCTATTATAATTTTTTTTTGTTTTTTGTTTCTTTAATAAGTTCAGTCAAATGTTTTATAAACATTTGGTTTGTTGTGCGTGGTGATTTATAACCGCTGATAATGTCTCAATCTTTTATACATATATGAAATAAGTCTATGTGATGTTGATAATCAAAAATCATTTCTGTTTTTCTTATATTTTTAACAATTTGAAAAGGAATATTCAATTTTACGAAACAAATAATTCCTCTTGGTAATGTAGGACTATCAATTTCTGACATAAAAGCAATTTTATATCCATTAATTTGTATGTTATTATTGTTCATTTTCATTCTAGTTTCAGAAAATATTAAAATATCAGCCTGCTGATACCAATCATCACACAATACATACTTAAAATTTTTTTTCAATGAACAGGAATTATGATAAATTATTTTAGGATTTCCTGGAATTTCATTAATGTATGACAAACTTAAAAGTTTCTCTGATTTTAGTCTAATAATCTCTTGTTTCAAAATTTGGTCAGTTTTTAAATTTAAGATACTTAAGTTTCCTATAATATACAAGTCATTAAGATGTCTAACTCTACTGAAAGCAACATACAATAAAGGTTTGGTAACTCTGTAATTTTTGCTAAAGTCAATGCAAACTTTATCATAAGTTTGACCTTGACTCTTGTGGATTGTGAGTGCTTCCGCTGGAACCAAAGGAAATTGTTCTCTTATGATTCTATACCCTACTCTTTCATTTTCACAAATAGGTAAACAAATTTTGATTATTGGTACCAAATTTAAATTTATATTATTTTTTATCATAAACGCATGATATTCACAGCGAATTTTACTACCAACTTTTACATTATTAAAATCCAACCATAAAATCCACAATTGACCAGCATCATTTAAAGTTATATTTTTTAAAATCCCACAAGCTCCATTTACCATTCCATCTTCAACATTTAAGTTTGTAATTATCATGTACTTTATTTCAAGTTTAAATTTTACTTTATAGGACAATCCACCACATTCAGTTCTTTTTTTTTGTTTTGTAATTGATTTTAAATTTTTCATTTTATTTGAGTCTATTTTACCTAAAATATGATCTATAGCTGTTGATACATAACAAATTTTATCACTTTTCTTTATTTTTTTGTCATTATACATGTCAACCATTTTATTTTCTACATACAATCGAATTGCATCTTCAGGAACTTCGTTTTCTTTAACAATTCTTGATGAAAAAAGATTTACATCATCTGTCGATAATTGTCCATTTGCTAGGTTATTTAAAGCTTTAATAAATTTTACGTCATCCTTTTGTCTCATAATTTCTGTTAATTCAAAATAATAGAATTCATCCCACAGAATATTTTGAGCAAAAACGTTTAATGTCAAATCCTTTGGTGGTAAATATATAGCTCTGTCCATCACTGGCGGTAATTGATATAAATCTCCAACAAGAATGACCGAAATACCTCCAAAACTTTCATTGATACCTTTAATTTGCCTTAATCGAAAGTCCACTCTTGACAGTGTACAACTTCCTACCATCGAAATTTCATCTATTATAACTAATTTTACATCATTAATTTTCTCTCTTAAATTATTTGCGACATTTGAAGAAAGCTCTGAAATTTGTCCTCCATATTGAGTTATTGGTAAAGCGAATGCTGTATGTAATGTGACTTCATTAATTAAAAAAGCTGCTTTACCAGATGGCGCACATAACAATATCTTAATTGTTTCAGGATTGAAATTCGGATTTTCATTCAAATAATTAGAAATTAATTGATAAATTGTGTCTATAAGTTTACTTTTACCCACACCTGCTGATCCACTAATGAATATTCTTAAAGGTAATTTGTCCATTTTAAAACAATTTAAAATGTGCATTGCAATAAGTCTTTGTTTTTTATTCAATTCAGTCATAAGTTGGAAAATTGTTTCCTTGTTATTAACTACTGGTACAGCAATTCTATTTATTTGTTTTATATTTTCATCATGTAAACATTTCTTTATATTATTATTATTATTGTTGTTTGTTTGATCAAAAATATCAACTTCAAATTTATTGTTTAAGTCAATTTCGATTTCAGAATTGTTTTCTTCGTCACTATCAATAACTGCTTCTGCCTCAATCAATGCTTCTTCCATTTTTTCGTCTCCAATTATATTAAATTTATTTCTGTTTATATCAATGGTAGCTAAATTTTTATTATATTCTTCTTCTACATTTAAATTTTGAATTTCTAATTCTTCATTTCTCCAAGGAACAAATAGTAATAATTGTTCTCTGTAATAGTTTGAAGGATCTTTAACTTTGTTATACTTTCTGTATCTAAGAATTCTTTTCTTTAATCTTGTTTTATTAATATTTTCTTTTTCAAAATCATCATCACTATTTTCTGGTACAGAATTGACATTTTTTAAATCTGAAGCAAAATCTGCTAAACATAAATCTTCAAAATCTTTTTCTCGATTAGCGTATTTATAAAATATATTGGAATAATATATGTCAATACTGTCTTCACTTAAATTATCTAAATCTCTCTTCCTTTTAAGCATTCTAACTCTATTTTCAATTGGAACAGTATTAACGTATATTTCCGCTCTGCTACATTTGCATAAAGGTAATGATAACACATGATATGCGGCTTCTTGACTTGATAAAACGCGTCCATTAATAAAAACATTGGCAATTTTTTTTAATTTGTTTTTTAAGCTTAAATTTCCATTATTTATATCTGTAGCTGCTTCATTTAGTAATTTAGATAAACCTGCGTCAATTTTTGTTATATAATTTATCATGTAAGAGGCGCATGAGAATGGATCTAATACAAACTGGATATCCATATTCGATTCCATTAAAGTTAGTAAAGTAATATTATATGGATTGATGGATACATCTTGACTTCTACGTTTCAGGAATAACTTCGGCCTTTTTAAAGTGCATCTAATTGAATTAATGTATTCATTTTTAGATATATTTAAGGTGTTTAACATGTCTTCATAAAGTACAGATGTAATATTTTCAAAGTATGTTTTCATTAAATTTTTTATTTTCTTCAAATTATTCAATTTGTTTTTTAAATTTATTTTTTCATTTTCTGTAAGTGGATAAAGGATTGTTGTTTCATCCATAACAAACATAGGAAAATGAAATCTACATTTATTTTTATTTTTTAAGCCTTTATTGCATGTTTGTGTGTGTCTATGGCGCTGTAGAACAATTAATGGATTTTCTGAATCATACTTGCATGTTATAAATCTATCAACAAATTTTGTGCATTCTAAATGTGATTCTTTATTTTCTTTTTCAAAGATTGGAGCTTTATTACAATAAACTAAATTATGTGTGTGGACAGATCCTCTTGCTTGAAATTCTCTTCTTTCAAAATAATCTATAACAAAATTCTCACCAAATGGTCCGTTTTTATTTTCTAATAATTTTGAAATTTCATGGAATTTATTTTCAATGTATCTGACACAAGTTATTGGATCATCACGTATTAACTTAGTTTTTGAATCGTTATCAAGAAAGAGTGCATCTGCTGCATTAATTATTTTTTTATATTTTAAAGTATATAATATTTTTAATAACTCTGGACATTCACGTTCATTTGCAGAAAAGGTAATAAAAAAGGTTGGAATGCCACATAAATTTAATAATGAGAATAAACTTTTTTTTTTGTATTCCCAATATGCTGGAGAACCTCTCACGTATTTTAAAAATCTAAAACCATCATCGTGTTTTATTATTTCGTTAAGAATTTCAGGATCTTTTACATGTTTAGCTTGCAACGAATTTTTCGATTTATGTTTTCTTAAACAAACATTTAGATTTGACCACACAGACAATTCAATTGTTCTATCTGCCATAAATAAAATTCTCTGTGGAATGCAGGATCTTCTATCTGTTCTACGGCATTCAGATTTAACACGCTCTGAATATGATAATTTTTCATTTTCGTCCATTGGGAAACCACCAAATATACAAGGGAAACATAGTTCATCAATATTTTTAATAACATGCCATGGTAAAGGACATTTTCCTGATCCGGGTATAATATCTTTTTTTTCTTCAATGAGTGTTTTGTTTCTATCAATAATTAATATTTCATCATTATTGTCAATAACAATATTTTCTAAATCTGAATCTTCATCATCACTATTTATATTATTTTCTATTTTACACTGTAAAAAAATCTGCTGTAAATTTACTATGTCCGACGTTGGAAAGTTTGGTCACTATGTCCGACGTGGTATTTTTACACGCCGACTGTAATCTACATAACCTGCAAATATTTTTTGAAATAATATTTTCAGTCGTAACTTTTTGTATTTATGAAATATAGCCCAAAACTTTTTGTTATATTATTATTTACTTATAAATTAGCATATACTTTCTATAAATGTACATTATATACACTTTTTTAGAGTTATTTATAAAAACTTGAAAATTTTTTGAAAATCTTAAAGGAATAAGAAAATTACATTCGCCATGTAATTGTACAGAGATCGTGCGACGTAATATTACGTCAAAGTGTAGAAATACACGCAATGTAAAAATACCACGTCGGACATAGTGATCAAATTTTCCTACGTCGGACGTAGTAAATTTACACAAAACTATTAAATTACATAGTCGTATAATGTAAAATTATTAAAAATAGTAAAACTACTTTTGGAACGAAATAAATTTACTACGTACAACCTATAATTTTGATGTGTGAAATTACAAGTTTCGTGTTATTTTACACCAGATTTTTTTACAGTGTAGTATTATCAGGCTGTGATTCGTCAATTTTATCTCTTGGACTAATTACAAAGTTCACTTCACTTTCAGAAGATGAATTATATCTTTTAAAAAACTCTTCATCTATTTCTATATTATTATTTATATACAATGGTTTATCTTTCAAATACTCCAAAGCTTTACAAATTTTTGAAGGTTTAATAGTTTCAAACATGTAATGTGATTTATGATTCTCGTGTCTCTTTAATTTTATTTGTATGGTCGATAGATCGTCAAAGTTTCTTGGTAGAATATTAATCATCTCATTAATTTCTACTTTTATATTTACAATACTTCCCTTTAATGATAGTTGAGGATTTACAGAATAAGGTAGCAAAGGTTTTATTTGCATAAAAGGTAATACTGGTGAAACCATACGCTCTTCTAAAGGTGACAAGCTTGTTACAATTTCAGGCACATCATGAAATTTTAAATTAGAATTAGCTGCCATTTTTGGAACTATACCATTCAAAATATGTTTTTTACAAGTGTTACAAATAAATTTTGAATTATTGTTTACGACTGATGAGAAAAATTCGTTTATATCTAAATTGTATTTTAATAATTTCATTTTAATTTGTTCTTCAGACCATTTAACTACTGATTTTTTAAAAAATAAATTATCACAACATATACATGATATATCTGGACCATTCTTCATGTTTTCCATAAAATCAATTATTAATTTATGTTGATCATTACTATGAATTTTCAAAAACTGATAAATTTTTTTTCGATATTGTTCACGATAATTTAACAGGTCATTCATTCTTGTGAATCTTTTACGTAATCTATCTTTTTCCTTCAATTTGTTGTTTTCAACAATGTAATTTTCTTTATATATTTTATTAATAACTTTTTCTTTTTTCAGATATTTTTTATCTTGTCTTAATAATTTTATTCTAGAAGAATTTTTTTTTCTTTTTCAATATAATCACCGATTCTTAATAATTTGTTTCGTTTTTGATTCTTCAATTTTTCATTAATTTGGTAATTTTTATTAGATCTAATTAATTTGATTCGACTTTTATTTTTAATGTTTTCAGATTTATTGTATTCACTATTTGATCTTGAAAGCTTAATACGATTTTTATTATTATTTTTTTCTAATTCTTCGTATTCACTATTCGATCTCAAAAATTTATTTCGATATATATTTTTTATATTTTCATTAATTTTATAATCAGTATTTGATCTTAATAATTTATTTCGACTAATATTTTTAACGTTTTCAGATTTAATGTACTGAACATTTGATCTTAAATCTTTATTGCGATTTATATTTTTAATTTTTTCCATTTCTTCGTATTCAATATTAGACCTTAATTCTTTATTTCGATTTTTATTTTTATTATTTTCATTTATTTTATAATCTTTATTTGATCTTAGTAATTTAATTCGATTTTTATTTTTAATGTTTTCAGATTTATTGTATTCACTATTTGATCTTGCAAGCTTAATACGATTTTTATTATTATTTTTTTCTGATTCTTCGAATTCACTATTCGACCTCAAAACTTTATTTCGATTTTTATTTTTTATATTTTCATTAACTTTATAATTTTTATTTGATCTTAGTACTTTGTTGCGATTATTATTTTTAACGTTTTCGGATTTAATGTAATTAACATCTGATCTTAAGACATTATTGCGATTTATATTTTTAATTTTTTCCATTTTTAGGTATTCAGTATTAGACCTTAAGTCTTTATTTCGATTTTTATTTTTAATATTTTCAGATATTTTATATAAACCATTTCTTTCTCTTATTTTTTTTATATATTCCTTGTTTCTTTTCAATTCTTCTAAATATTTATTATTATTTAACCTTTGTTTCCTTTTTTTTAAAACATTTTTAGTTAAGATGTCCAATAAAAAATGTTCGTTATCATTTTTTGAAATTAATGATGTAGTTTCAATTTGAATATTGCACTTAATTTGCTTTTTTTTCTCTCTATTATTTCTCATGTAATCCGCATTTCGTTTTCGTCTAACTGTGGCACTTGTTCTTTTTATAATAACCATTTTCTTTTAAAATTCTACTCTTCTTTTTTTTAAGAATTATTAATTCATAGTATTTCGTATTTGTAGATTTATCTCAGTAATGATTTGTCAGAATATCACTCCAAATAAAATTCTTTACTATATAAAAAAAAATTTTAATTAATAATTTTTTTTTAATAATAAGTAATATAAATATTTTTAAAAATAGTTTTTTAAGTTAATTAATAAAATATCTAAAAAATTATATGAATTTTTAGGGTTATATGAATTTTTAGAGGTACAGAACATTATTCTTAACCTAATTTTTTATAAAATTTAATTTAATACTCTAAACAATATTCAACCGACTTGGTTC